AAAATTGTAGCTAATAATCCATATTTTAATAGTATACAGGTTTTAAGTTCTTAATCTTATAAGGTAATATTTAAAAAAAAAATCCTTAATTTCCCCTAGTGTGAGAAATGTGACATTTTTTCTCTTGGCGTCCCCTCTTTTCTAATTTATTCACCATCCTCCAATAAGTAAGAAATATAATGTATATTACTCACTATAAAATTGTCATCCCTCACACAAGCCATAGTTTTTATAGCCTCCAATTGTGTTTGGTTACAAAGCCATCAAATAGAAAATCAGACCCCTCTTGCCACACCCACCCTTTCAGGATTTGTTAATAGTTCTTTCTATATTACTTATAACCAACAGAAAGCCAAGGTTTTCTTCTATCAAATGACATATTATATTACATTGTTTTCTGAACAGAGAATTGTCAATTTCTCTTGCGGTACAAGCTTTGTTCCCACCACAAGAAACATATCGACTAACTTGGATGAATTTGTAACGGCTCTTGTCGCATAGTTAGAAAGCCAGAAAAATTGTGATAGTTACGAGACAGTGTCTGCTCTTTGCATGTGATTATATGTTCTTTGGTACATTATTTAATTAAATAAAAATTATTTAGTCCATTATTACCATTAGTATAAAAAAAGTAGGGTTAAGTGCCATCGACAATTGACAAAAAAGACTTGGGTAAGTACTGTATTTCTTGTTTTTCATGTTTATCCTTTATTTATTATTATGAAAGTAATTACAATATATAAATATAGGGATCTTTTAGGTTTGTTAAGGTCAGATTAAGGAAAATAAATAATAAACATGTTTCACGAGGCAAGCATGCGAGCAGCTCGTGAGTAATGTAATCGATTGCATAACGTGAGCTACACGTTCCCCAAGTGATTCACAACTTATAATGGTGGGAATATTAGTTAGACATGATTCAAAGGGCAATAAAACAATAAAATGTAAGTATAAATAGATGTATACTGTTACAAATTTAAAGCTATTTAGTGTATACAAATGTAGTTTCATGTTACAATTTGAAGTCATTCTAGTAAAGAAAAAAATGGGTAATTTAGGTTTATTTCAATTTCTTTTTGGTGGTTATGATGTTGGTCACATTGACCACCCTTGCACAGAGTTAGGGTAGAGAAAGTAACTGATAGAATATAAAGTTTTACTGAAAACAAAGGTACAAATTATATTTAGGAGATTTTAGACATGATGCAAATGAAAGTTGAGATTTTTGAAATGAAGAAAAGTATTTTTAATCTTATAATGAAAATCACTTTGCACATGGACTATTCAAAACAAATAGTCAATATATTTATAGACAAATCTTTATTTTAGTTTATTAAAAATACTTCACTAAAAGATGTGATTTTATGTACGTGAAAGACTGCCAAATTTTGTGAAGATATACACACTATATTAATAATTAGTAGTCTCAAAAGTATAACTACTTTAAACAAGTACAAAGTGGTCACACGGTTGGTCAATTTGATCGAGCCTGTGTCGATAAAATTAAAATAGATATTTCAAACTTACCAAAATTTAAATTCTGGTAATCTTCTAATAAAAGGACGAAATTCCTCGTTTGATTTTGTTGGCAAACTAGGACCATCATCTAAATAATGAAAGAAACTATTAACTATACATATAATACGAGATGAGCAGAAACTAAATTAATGTTTTCAAAGCTTTATATTAGTGTAAGCCTTTATTTTGAAACAATAAACAAACACACATTGCTAATAATATTAAGTAACACAAAATTCATCTTACATTTGAAAAAAAAAACTGTGTAGTTATTATTTAACAAAACAAAAGTGAAAAAAATCATTCATAAAAGTAAATAGCTTTAAATATATTAGGTAAGAGATTTAAGACATTCAAAGGGTATTGTTACACAAATGTCTCAAGACTGGTCCCCAAACAGTTTCCTAAAACAACCAGTCAACACATTAGGTAATGTTTGTACTCAAGGAGTATTGTTACACAAATATCTCAAGACTGGCCCCCAAACAGTTTCCTAAAACAACCACAACCAACACATTAGGTAATGTTTGTACTCAAGGAGTATTGTTACACAAATATTTCAAGACTGGCCCCCAACAGCTTCCTGGTTTAAAATTAGAACCATGTGTTTAAACGATATTATAACCCTTTTGAAAGTATTTTGTTTGTGGTGTTTTTTGATAAACAGTCAAACTAGGCATTGAACAACAACCAACATATCAAAATATCTTATTGATTCAGTACAAAAAGAGCTACACAAAGGGAAATCCTTATTAAGAGAGAATTTACACTACTTGAATAATTTAAGGTACAACCCTTTACATTTGCATGAGAAAAACTAAACACTGAAGGCTGATATATAGTATGAATGACAATAGTTGTTGAATAACTTATAGTTACAGGAGAAACACTTTAAACACTGGAGGTTGATTAGCAGCGTTCACTGTAACATAATTTAAGGTTACACAAAGAACTCATTTTGTTTCTTACCAAAGTCATCGTCATGCAGTGCAGGGTCAATTTTGGGCGTGAGGAAGGCTATGAATAGGTTAAGATGATAAATACCTAAAGCATAAGTAATTATATACCATCCCTAGAAGAACAAAATAAAAATAATCAACATATTACCAACACTAGTTCTACATATACAAATTACTCAGTGATGAAAAATGTAAACACTTTTCAATTTACTTTGACACCAAAGGTATCAAATATAAAAATAATGTGCCTTCAAAATGAAACCAGTAAGAATTAGGCTTAGAATACTGCACAATCATTTTGGATGTGGCACTCAGTTTTTGAAGATATAACATTTTCTTAAAGTATATTTCATTATAAAATATTATTCAACAAACGATAATGAAAAGTGGAATTGTATAAAATAAAACTTTTTCTGGTAAAAATAAGCATAACATTCATTTAGTGAGGGTGATATACAGTTCCTCAAACATGTAGTAAATGCACATTAAATTAGAACAGCAGTTATGTTCCTTACCTATATTATCAGAACTCGTACTCTTCACCTGTAATAACACAAGTTAACATGTTCTTAACTCGAAAATGTATTTCCAATAATACTTACCTCTAATCACACTACAGCTATGACTTGACTGCTAGGGTTTCTTCCTTTGCCCATCTCAGCATGAAGAGTGTCATGAAACAGATATCGGCAACAGCAATTATGTGGAGAATAAAAGACTGGAGCAAGCGAGTAAAAATCAGACCAATGCTTAGATGGGCAAAGGAAGAAACTAACAGTTGAGTAATAGCTGTAGTGTGAGAGGAGGTATGTATGTTTTGGAACTCTTGTTCCTCACCTGTAATAACAGAACTCTTGTTCCTCACCTGTAATAACAGAACTCTTGTCTCTCACCTGTAATAACAGAACTCTTGTTCCTCACCTCTAATAAAAGAACTCTTGTTCCTCACCTCTAATAACAGAACTCTTGTTCCTCACCTCTAATAACAGAACTCTTGTTCCTCACCTCTAATAACAGAACTCTTGTTCCTCACCTCTAATAACAGAACTCTTGTTCCTCACCTCTAATAACAGAACTCTTGTTCCTCACCTCTAATAACAGAACTCTTGTTCCTTACCTGTAATAACAGAACTCGTACCATATATACTGCAAGCAAAAGAATTGTTATAATCCATCGAATAATGGAATAGGGTGTCCAAGCATCCAAGAGCTGCTGGTATATCTACAACAAGAGAAAGTAAGATGATGATGTAAAATGACAGAACTGCTTAAAATAGCAAACAAAAATGAAAAAGCTTTGTTGTCACACATATATAAATGTGAATATTGACAGTTACCAAGTGGTACAACTTTCAATCAATTAGTACCTAATTAGAATAAATATTTAACATTTCTAATAAACTTTTAAGCACAAACTTAGAAAAAGATCTTAAAATTTCAAGTAGAAAGTTCACCTTCACCTAGTGAACTGAAGCTCCTTAAAGAGGCTCAAATGTTCTACAAGCTTCTCTTGGTTAATTAACTTAAAATGTTTTCCTGATTGAAAGGAAGAGGTTAGAAATATAAACCAACTGTTCTTGAGCAAAGAAAAAAAGAGAACTGTTTATTCAATTAAACAATAAACATAATCAGTTAATAATATAGTTTTAAATCAAAAATTCATACAGCTGAATTTACTTTAGTCGATATATTTATTTTCAGACTTACAGTTGAAATCATGAATCTATAACCAACAAGTTGTTAGCAGTGTAAATAACTAATATGAAACAATGACTATCTATCTAGTATAAAACTAGATAATTTGTTGAAAAATTCACCAGAGATATAGTACAGTGTAAAACACATCTTCATATGGTTGATATACAATGTTTTGGGACCTCTCTCCGCAACTTTTACAGGATGAAGAGTACTTTCTGAAAAGGATGTTTGTCAACTGCAAGTATTTTATACTTTACTACCTCTTTGAGAGTACTTTTTTTCAATAACTTATCTACAGCTAATGATTATTTTGGATTGCAATTTAAAACATATATATATATATATATATATGTTTTTTTCTTTATGCTTTAATTCAACATTGAGTACTCAATATACATTACTAGTACCTCCTGGAATGGTGGCACATCTGGTGAACTTACAGATTTGATCCTGTGTTCAGCAACAGCTCAGGTAGCATACAGGGCCATAATTTGTGTAGAAGCTACAGGTGTTTTTTTTTAATACATACAGTAAAAAGAACTACAAGTTCTACAATGTACAACATGACTTAACAGAGTTTAGACATCTTTTTAATGTGAAAACTGAGAGGAGGAAAATAGAACCAATCTTCTTTTAGACTTGTCATGTAGCTTGTGTTTTGACACAAGATGTACGTTTATCCAACTAGTAAAACTAATGACTTACTGGTCTGTTGACCGTAGTTAATAATTGAATAAAACTGTCAAGCATTGTGGCTTTAAGGTTGTAGATTAAAATGTCATTGTTTCAAACTCATAAAACAAATATAATACACAAAGAAAACAGTTGCAAAATCTGGACAATTAAACTCAGAAAACTTTTACATATATTTGTAACATCAGAATTACTGAAAGAGCCCACATGGATCCCATCAGTTTAAACACATTTTCTAAACTTTTTGCATCAATGATTCACATACAAATTGTAAACAAAAATATCATCAATATAGCAATTAATTCCAATAATTACAAACTCAATCTTCTGTGCATTTTACACAGGAAATGAGGGACATCATACAATTTTATTTTTGTCAGTTCTCTACCTGGTTGTTGTTAAAGGTAAAAACAATTAGGAAAAAAAATACAATATGTAGATCCTATTAGTTGTGAACAGTATAAAATATGTTGGTAATTTGATTATTAAATAAACTGCACTAATAATTTTCAGATATAAATATATTTGAAGCTTCACTTAAAAAAAGGAAAAAAAAACAATTCTAATATAGTAATTGTTTACTTGAGAAATTCGCCTAAAAAACCTTGTTACAATAGAAACTTGAGTAGTTCTTTCACTTTCCATTGTTTTCCACACACCTGCAAAAACAAATATAGGTAATTAAATGCTAGTGCTGACATTAAAACAAGTTTCTTATGATATCATGTAAAAATATTTTTAGACTCACCATTTCATTCATATTAAATTCATTAATTGAAACTACCAGGTATATATAAAAAGTAATGTTTACATAACAAAAAATTATTTTTTTTCTATTTAAGTACTTGTGTTAAGTATTAAAAACATATATTTCCCAAAAATAGTTGTATGCTTTGGTTAAGACAGCTACAATGAAAATGTTAAAAGTGACAGCAAAAAAATACATTTATATACACATGTCTGTCAATAGTTTCTAACTTAACACTAAGAATTTACAATTTGAAAAATACCTTTAATAATTATTTTATGAACTCTTGCAAATTTTAAAATACCTGGTGCACTTTTAGATTACATTAAAGTATCAGATAAGCATCATGGTAATTTTGTATTAGCTGTAAAATTTGTTTTTTAAACTGAACAAAACATACTTAGCAAATATATATAATGTATTTCTTTAATGGTTAGACATACTGAATGAATCTGTATTGTGTTTCAATAGTTCAGTGTTTTGAAGATGAGTTAAATTTATTTAAATAGTATATAAAAAAGATTAATAAGGCAAGGAACTTTGTGTGTGTTTTGTTTGCTAAACAGGTAAGTATAAGTAATTTAAAGAAAAAATAACAGTCCATTGGCATTGCAATTTTTGGGTCTCTGTTTATAGCAGCTTTTAATTCTTTGTTTATCTTTGTTAGTTTGATATAGCAAAATCGAAATTGCATTCATATTTTGTCTTTAATTATTGAAAATGCCACAATGATCCTCTTGTTTTGTATATATATATACCAATCCAAATTTTACTTGGTAATTAGTATATTAAGGGGTTAATTAAACTAATGTCATTCTTGTAAGATTACCAACAACAACAAATATAAAATCATTGTAGCTGTTCTAACAGTATGTTATACAGTTGTTTAAAATCTTTAAATACTTATTTTTGTATATAATTATTTATAGAGTGATAAAGGTGGTTATTAAAATTAAAGTGAGGTTTTGAAAACATTTGGCTATTATTTTTTTATTCAATATAGTTTCACAACACTCTTCATAATTTTCCACATATCTGCAAAAAATATGAGTAATTAAATGCTAATGCTCACATTAACTTTAACTTTAATTTATATAAATCAGCATATAGATTACATCTACAGTTCATAAAACTTGTTTTTTTTTGATAGAATTTTGTCCAAAGCTACTTAAATTCCATCTTTGCTAGCTGTCTCTAATTTTGAAGTGACAGACTAGAGCAAAGGCAGTTAGTCAACACTACTCACTGTCAATTTTGGATTACTCTTTACCAATGAATAGTTGGATTGACTGTCATATTATAATGCCCCACAGCTGAAGGGGCAGGCATATTTTTATCTTGTGACCCCAAAATTGCAATTCAAACATCCTATTCACTAGGCCTAGTACTTTAAATAATTGTATTTTAGACTACAGAGCCACAATATGGTTTAATATAAAATTTAATTTTCACTTTTGCAGAATTTTGTTCAATACCTCAAAATTTCTAAACTATGTGTAAGCACTACATTATAATTTTGGTTTCTTCCCAGACATCATAGGATAATTGATAGTGCTATATATTGCAATTTTCAAACTAAATATCTTTAGCTTAATTCCCACAATTGCTATACAGGTAAGAATAAATACTCACACTTAACTACTACTTTTTTCAATTGAATTGAAAGCTGGTATGTATCAAAATTATATCTGCTTTTCAAATTTCATACTTCACTCAACATTTCGTCATTTCATTACACAAGGTTACAACATAACTTAGGACCACTTTGAAACAAAGCAACACAAGGACTACCTTTATTAGACGTTCCTAATTTAAAAAATCAGAACTATTACATTCATAATTTACATTTCATAAAACAGTACTATTTTCCTTTTGGTTCACTATAATTTAGATTTACTACCGTTCGTAATCCTTACAATTTACATTATCTTACAAAGTTACAAACATAATGTATATGCTTAACTCCTAAGACACTGTAACCGAGTAAGATAAATAGTCGCTGGTTATGAAATTACTATTAATATTAAAAAATAGATATATTCATTACAATATTTTCAATATCGCACATTCTCAGTAGGCCTAACTCAGAACTTTAATTTAATAAAAACTCTGTAGTACTAGTAGTAATACAATTACTGTTACTACTACTAGTAGTACTACTATACTGAGCTGTGTAACACTAACAACAAAGATTACATCAACTGACTTCAAGTACTGTAAATAAATAAAGTTAACATATATAACCGTAATTTAAACAAATGATTAAAACAGTTTTCCGAAAGAAATACAAAATGCACACATACATAATATCGGACTAAAATTAATCTCACCTCACAACTTCAAGTTACACCAATTTCCTTAAGATTCGTCACCGATATCAATATAACGTCACGTACCATCAGTACAAATCTCCCTCTGGTAGCGAAGGAACTTTATTTATTTTTTAAATATACACAATATTAATAGTAATTAATTGATTAAACTATTCATAGATCATTGAGTACCTCAGATACTTACGAAAAAAAAATACATACCATTACGTATACTTACATACGTTTTAAACACCTAGATGGAAACAAATACAGCAATATATGTAAGTCAGACAAATAAGACTAAGATGGGGGCTAAATTAGTCCCCCGAAGGATCAGTGGTAAGTTTACAAACTTATTGTTACGTCTCCGTTTGTTAATTAACTTTCCGTAACTTCGTTCCGAC